AACTTCAAGTGGTAGCTCTAGAACAAAACATATGTCAGCCCTTGGCATACAGCGATAACACCATGCCTCTAAGTGAGAAAAGATTTTCTGCACTCCCCTTAATTTTTTACTATCTAACAACCTGGGACTATCCATCATGCCGGGCTGATTTGCAGGCCAACGATCTGCCAAAACAAGCTTCCCACGCAAAGCCTGATGTACAGATCTTTTGGCTGAATACAAACGCAAAAAAGCAAGAGTCACCGCTGAAAATCTTTTTACTAAAGACTGAGAAACAGGCTTCTTTTTAATCTTTTTCCCTCCTTGCCCCTTGTGCTTTTTTCCCTTCAGAAATTTGCGTAATAACTCAAGAATATAGCCTTGTGGCTTTCCTAACTGATATTTTTTAACCGTTATAAAACTGGACAGAACCTTATCAATCTCAAGAGCCATTGTAGACTTACCCGCACCATCAACTCCTGTAATTGCAATAACCAAGCCTACATTTGAAAATGTTTTCTTTTGTTTAAGGAAAACGCGATTCAAAATACGAGCTCCCAATGCTTGAATACGCCGGAAAGGCAGAGACAAAGGGTGAAAACGTAAAAATGGCAATAATGAGAAACGAAACCTAATCGCCGTTAGAGCGTTAGGTAAACATAATTCGCCGTCTAAAAGGCCTGCCCTGCTCAAGTAAGAAGAAAGATTTAAAAAATCTTGAGAAAAAGCGGATCCTTCCACCCGACATGCAGACCATTCTTTTCTGTAAGAGTCTATTTCCTTACGATATAGCGCACGACTTGCCAAAGACCCCCCTTTCAGCAAGTGGCGCACTACAAATATATACGACTGAGCTGAGCGATTTAAAACCCAAAGGCCACTATCATGTTGAACACGGTTTTCTAAAATGAAGTCTTCTATTGGCAAAAGATACTCTTTAAGCCAACTTTCCCCTGTTATGAGTCTAAAGTAGATATGAAGATGTAGAACTTTACCATCTTCAGCAACTTTATATAGGTGAGTAACAAATTGAGACTTAGAAAGAAAATTCTCCATCTCAACCCAACCTAATAATCTCGATATAAATAGAAGCTCTTGCCTATGTGCGTGAAGCACAAACAAGTCAAGATCTCGTTCCCCTTTCAATGCAAGATCAAGCTCATGATTGTTTTTCCAACTCACACAAGGGATTTTTCTTTTGTTCAACTCCTGGAAAAAGTTAAAAATAGAGTTTTCTCTCATAATCTACACACTTATAAACACTAAACTAACTTAGAGCTGATCTTATTCATATTTAAAACCAAGCGGGCAAAAAAGGTACAACTATAAGCCACCACAAGGAAATAAAAATTTTCCGCAAAAAGATAAAAAAGAGGTAAAAATAAAGCCAAAATGCAGGCATTACGTTTCCAAAAAGGGCTATGATCTCCTTGAGATTCAAATTTACCCTTAATGTACTGCAATGCAAAAGTTGCAGGCGCTGTAAAAATTGCTAGAGGGATATATTCATCAAGATTTTCAGAAAATCTTTCTCCTAAAAAAAGAGCCAAAACTTCTTTCCCCACCAAAAAATACACAAACCAAGCGACTCCCGAAAGCGCATAAAGTCTAACTAAAATCTTCTTTAATAGGTTGTAAGAGTTTGAAACTCCTACACTGGTAGACCTTACATGCCAATGTAAAGCTATTGGTTGCAAACCTGATTCTACAACTTTGAAAAAAGTAATAACTAAGGCAACAAAACTTGCTTCAGATACCCCAGATTTAATTTGAACAAAATAGATAGGAAAAAAATGAAAAGCCAAACGAATAAAATTATCAGAAACCCTACTTAAAGTTTGCTTTAATAAACTTGCTGAAATATCAACCATTTCTTTCTTAAAGATTTTTTTATGAAGAAATATATTCCTATTAAAATAAAGAATAATAAGAAATGTAAAAGCACCGTGAATAGTAAAAAAAGAATCGAGAGAAAACCCTAGAAAAAAAACTCCACTCCCCACCACAAAAAACGCTAACCCCTTTATCATTGCAATAATAGGATCAACAATGTGTGGATTTCTATACCTCATCATTGTATTAAAAACATGGAATAAAGCAAAGGTGCCGCCCCAAAATACCGCTTGCCGCTCCATGCCTAAAAAGGTAAAGCCAATGGTTCCTCCCACAACAGACGCTATAAAAACAATTATCAAAGCCGCCGTATTAACAATTTCAAAATCGTACTTACGCACCAACAAAATATAGGCATACCCTATACTTAAGCTGCATCCTCCAGAGAGATAAATCGCATATCTAAATTGCAGCACAAACTCAAGAAACTCAGCTGCATTTTGACTTCTCGAAAAAAGAGAAATTAAAAATAAGTTAGCAAGGGTGCTTGCAATTGTGACTAGAGCCACAGAAAAGGTAGAGTTTTTCTTTTTATAAGGAAACATCTATGAACGTGACCAAAACGAACGGCGTAAAAAACGAGGTATAAAACTCAATTTGCAATAAATAGCGAAACAGAGCATGAGTGTTAACCCGCCACCCGTAAAGAGCTGTGATGGAAGGCCTTTAACTGAAGCGAAAGAAACAACCAGCGCAAAACCTGAAATTATAGGACTGTACAAGTAAAATAAAGGGTTACATGTTATATGCTTGTCAAAGAAGCGGAGCAAAAAGGCAAATGGCAAAGTTAAGAATGGACCCAAGAAACCAAAAGAAATAAAAAACTCTCCCAATACTCCTATAGACGTATACCCTCTAGCCCCACCTGTTAAAACCTTCCACTCTTTGCTAAAAGTCACTTGAGACATATCGCCAAGAACCCTTTTTAAGTAGACCAAGTATATATCAAAATATCTAAAGTCGAATCCCAAACCAAACTCTTGAAAAGCAATATACTCACCAATTGCTTCCCCTAAGAAGACTCTATATGCCCACTGTATTAATGCTGTACTGACCTCGCCATAGTATAAATAACTTACAAAAAACCCACAAAAAAACGCAATTATTATTCCTTTTACAAAGTTTCTACCCCCATCTTTTCCCTGATAATATCGAAAAAGTTGCCACCACATAACAAGCCAAAGAGCAACCAAAATGGTAGGGGTTCTTTTGAAGGTTCCCACAAGGAAAAAAATGCTTAAAAAAACTGAGATAATACCAATCCACTTTTCCCGCTTATCAAGGATCGAAACATCCAGCCTTCTTTCTAAATAACTAAATTTGATAAAATATATTGCAGACAAGGGCAGTAATATCCGATAAAATTGAGATGTAATAGAAGACCAAAAAACATAAGGTACTTCACGTGTCCCAAAATTCCAAGACAACTCTCTTAAACGAGTCTCGCTACCATCGATCAATAATTTTATAATAGGAAAATCCGGATAAAGCACCGTTCTTAAAGCAAGATAGCCTAACGCAACAAAAAACATTATCTTTGTCATCTTTTTCAACCAAAGAAACTTGCTTATATCTTCCTTAATTTTCAATGTAGAAACTTTTATGCTCCCAACTTCTTTCAACCGTAATGGCAGTCCTCCTAACATGTAGGCTAACTGGAAAGTTATTAAAGTCACCATAACACGGCTGCTATTGATAATTTTTATGTCCACTCTTTCATCAACAGGGCGGGGTAATATATCAGACGACAACCAATATTTTGATTGAAACAAAAAAATCAAAAGCGAAGGCAACGCAATAAGAGCGGCATTCAGGAGGAAAAACCCTGAATACAAACCAATTACTTTATCTTTCCTAACGTAAAGGAAATAAAAAGACACACACAATGATACCTCTAAAAATATCATTAAATTTTGTTCGAAATTTGGAAACATTTTTTATTTCAGCCTATAAAACATAGGCAACACGAAGAGTTAATTTTAAAACTCGTTATTTTATAGTAACATATAAACTTTAATCAATATTTTTTTACAAAAGACATTGATAAGTTTTGAAAATCATATTTATTTTTCTGAACGTTTTTTAAAGATGTTTCATTTTAAAATGGCAAATTGATATTTTTCTACACTAAGATTTCATGTAACTTTTAAAAAATTTCATAACAACAAAGGAATTCTTCATGCGCCTTCCATCTCAAGATTATGAAACTCTTTATCGCGACTCTATCAAAAACTCAGAAAAATTCTGGGAAAAACAAGCACAAAATCTGACTTGGATTAAACCTTTTACAAAAATTAAAAGTAGTTCGTTCGACTTAAAAGATTTCCATATCCGCTGGTTTGAAGATGGCACGCTGAATGCTTCTTACAACTGTTTAGATCGCCACCTAAAAACTATGCAAAACCAACCTGCCATCCTTTGGGAAGGGGACAGTCCAGAAGATTCTAAAACAATTTCCTACAAAGAACTTCATGAAAGTATGTGCAAATTTTCTCATGCCTTAAAAACAATGGGGGTGGAAAAAGGCGACCGCGTCACAATTTATCTGCCGATGATTCCTGAAGCAGCAATTGCAATGCTCGCGTGCACGTATTGGGGCTATTCATTCGGTGGTTTTTGGGGGATTTTCTCCTGAATCTCTAGCCGACAGGATTCATGATTGCGAATCCAAGGTTGTTATTACAGCAGATGAGGGAATTCGTGGAGGAAAACGCATTCCCCTAAAGGAAAATACAGATAAAGCGCTCACCTTAAAAGGGGCAGAGTCTGTAAAATAAGTGGTCGTCTTTCAACGAACTGGCAGCAATATTGAATGGAATAAAAACCGCGACCTTTGGTACCATGATCTAATGGAAAAGAGTTCTTCTACATTTGACGCTGTAGAAATGAGCGCTGAAGATCCTCTATTCATTTTATACACCTCTGGCTCCACAGGAAAACCAAAAGGGGTTCTTCATACGACAGGGGGATACCTTGTCTATGCCTCAACAACACACAAACATATTTTTGATTATAAGCCAGGAGAAATTTACTGGTGCACAGCAGATGTGGGTTGGATTACAGGTCATACCTATTCTATTTATGGCCCTCTCTGCAATGGAGCGACCATCGTTATGTTTGAAGGGAGGCCTCACTATCCAGACACGTCTCGCTTTTGGCAAATCGTTGATAAGCATAATGTAAATATTTTCTATACAGCCCCAACAGCGATTCGCACACTCATGCGCATAGGAGATGAACCCGTCAAAAAATGCTCCCGTAAAAGCCTCAGGCTTCTTGGCACTGTTGGAGAACCCATCAATCCAGAAGCATGGCATTGGTACCATGATGTTGTTGGAGAGGGTCTCTGCCCGATTGTCGACACCTGGTGGCAAACAGAAACAGGTGGTATTTTGATGACCCCTCTCCCTGATACGCCCAATCCAAAACCTGGCTCTGTGATGAAGCCTTTCTTTGGAATTAAACCCCTTTTGATGAATCAAAAAGGAGAAGTCCTTGAAAATGCTTCAGAGGGCGCCCTTGTTTTTTCTGATTCCTGGCCGGGCATGATGCGCACAGTTTATGGTGACTACCAACGCTTTATCGATACATACTTTAACGCTACCCAGGATATTACTTTTCTGGAGATGGTGCAAAACGCGATAAAGACGGAGATTACTGGATTTCTGGACGTCTAGACGATGTGATTAATGTTTCTGGACATCGTATTGGAACGGCAGAAGTCGAAAGCGCCTTGGATGCCAATGAAGACGTTGCTGAAGCAGCCGTTGTTGGTTTCCCTCACCCGATTAAAGGGCAAGGCATTTATGCTTATGTCACGTTAAAATCTGGACACGAGCCTTCTGAGGCCCTAAAGACCCAACTCCGATCTTGGGTTTCCCAAAAAATCGGCCCTATTGCCAAACCAGATGTGATTCAGTGGACACGTGATCTCCCTAAAACACGATCTGGAAAAATCATGC